TATAGCACATATAAGAATTTAGTATTAGATTGTAAACCTGTGGTATGTTTTTAAAATCTAATGCATTAATCAGTGTTGTAATATCACCAAATTCTGTACATTTCAAATAATTATGTGTTATGTCTACTTTTGCAATACATGATTTACTACCGTATAGCGGGAATTTTTAGCAGGGTGCTAACTTTGACTTAAATTTATTTAAGCAGTTCTGAAGCAGCCTGCTATAATTAAAACTAAATTTGCACCCTTACATATAGATATGGAATACAACAAAAATAACTTGGATCAGTCTCTTGTTACATGTAAGCAATATTTACACCCACTAAAGAAACCCACTATAAGGTATTTAAAAGATTTTATATATACTTTCAAAACATAATAAACAAGAGGCCCATGGGCCATTCTGCTCACCTGAGTCACTATGACCGTACTGTTCTTCATCAGATTTTCCCCCTTATATATTCCTATGTAAAACTTTTATCCCCTATTGTGGCCCCACCCTACCCTGGGGAGTAATAATCTGAATAAACTTCAATCTACACAACCTGAGGATCCTCACATAACAATATAAATAATCATGCCTTCTTAAAGAAGAAGATTTTTAAAGATTTTTTCCCCTATATATTCCTATGTGAACCGTTGATCGTCCATTGTGGTCCCAACCACCCTGGGGATCATGATTTGACAAAATTTGAAAAAAAACTTAAACATACGCTATGTAAGGAAGCTCTCATATAAGTTTCAACTCTTCTGGCCCGGTGGTTCTTGACAAGAAATTTTTTTCCTATACATTCCTATTTAAAACTTTGATAATCTATTATTTAATGCCTTTGGCTCAGGTGAGCTAATTAAACTATGATTGGTATCTTTACTTTTTGAATTCTTTTATCTTTTGATAACTTTGACACTAACTTTTGGCTGCATAATTGACACTATGTTTATGGCAAACTGACCATAATTATTGTCCACTGAACGACCAACAAAATTTAAATGAGGATTTTTGGATTTAGTTCTACACTGCTTCTATTAAATTACTACTATCTTAAGAGGAACAGTTAATTTTGGTTATAAATATACTATTCACTAATGACACATCAATAAGACTAAGTACTTTGGATTCCTCAAAGTCTGACTACAACAGTCTATTTGATACCCCTCACACCATTTTCTACCGAGTCTCAATGAAGCATCTACGCAGCTCACCTTACAGCACAATATGAAAATCTACAAGGAAAATTTCACTCCAACTTTTGCTTGATACAGGCATACTATTACAAAGTTTTCAAACATAATTCTTTAATATGCTAAAATTTTGATTTAAAACAAAATAGCACTTATTTCTAATATTATACTTTCATGTAAATTACTTGAATTTGATTCATCCATAAAATTTTTATCTGAATGATGAAACCACACCCTCCAGCGTGGTAGAACTTAGCAACAATCAACATTGCTTGACAACAGCTGATATTCCCCAAAAATTATGACTGTGCGGAATCTATGCCTGCTCTCTTTACCTTTATTTGTATACAATGTTCAGTATAATATAATAAATACTGCATGTAGTTGAGGGCATCATTTGAAAATTCCACCCCTTGAAAACCATTGTCAACCTCGACTGCACCTCTATTGTCAATGGTATTCTTCGAGTGAAAATATTTACTGATATTCCTTTAAAAATTGCTTCAATAGAGACCTATACTTAACCAGAAGGCTTTGATGAAACTGAAGCTCTACTTTTGTGTACTTGGTGTAATTTAGTATAGTGTACTTGTGTACCAAGTCTTATTGAAATTGGACCAAAACTGTAGAAGGAGTAGCATTTTGAACAAGATGTGTTTGTGAAACACTGATGCCCCTGTATGGCAGCTTATACGGTTTAAGGTTTTTATCACGTCTCAAAATTTTTTGATATAACAAAGTTTACATGCTATTAAAATCATATATTTAAAAATCTTTGCTAGAAAATTAATATTTCTGATGTTTCAGCGATTCAAAGTTTGAATTTCTCAATATGCATATTTTGATCACCAATGTTACGTGCCATTGCTCTGACGTCATAGGTGTCAATCCTGGTCAAGCGAAGTACTTATCATGTATACAAAAAGGTTCATTTGTAGTGTCTATTAAACCTGTTAGAAAATAATTAAGAGATAATTGGATAACTGACAGCTAGTAAGGTATAATTTAAAGCTTTAGGATGCACAAATGTGCACAGGAAAGATTTTAGGAAGAAATTTTTTTCCACATTTTCTGGACTTGATCGAGAGATGAAAGGGGGACCTTTTTCTGCAAATGCAATGAAGTTTATCTCCATTCAGAACAATCGTTTATGCCCGATAGATCACAAATTTTTTCTGTCCTATTTTTAGGAAAGATACAATTTAAAAAAATAATAAATGACAAACAGACATTTTTTAAAAGTTGCACAGAATCTAGTAGGAATGTTGTGAACTTCGTAATGGCGTACGGCACCATTGAGGAAGTGTCATTTCCAGTACATGATATTCAGTGCTGGAACAGATAGAAGATATACAGGATTTATCGATATATAATTCATTAAAATAATAATGAAGGAGAATTTAAAATTCCCATATTTATAAATGTTTACGAGGTTAAACTTTAGTAATTCGTTCTATTAAGTCGAAGTCCCGAGTTGTCAATGGCTTCATCTTCGGTGACCTCTCCAATTGTCGGCATATTTTCTGCTTATTTCTCTCTGCTAATCGTTCATACATAGAAGATTGACCGCCCATAACCAAAGGAATATAGCCGATGTCAAAATTTCAATCGGCCATATTGTGTATCCTATTTATTTAGCATAAAAATCTATTCAATATATTTTTTCTTACGATAAGCTTTACGAGTTCTATTGACCATTGACACCTATGAAGTTTCAGTACTACGTGACCCCTATCTAATTAGTGGAGATTTTTACTTCGAGGGCCCTATGTGAAGTGTGAAAGCCCTAGCACCAACCATTCAAAAGTTATGACCAAGGTTAAAGTTTTTCGAAAGTAGCTCAAACTCCTTGTCAAGGTCAAAGAGTCAAAGTGGTTGGTATCCAAAGGAAGGTCTTGTCACAAGGATTACATATGTGAAGTATGAAAGCCCTAGCACCAACCATTCAAAAGTTATGGCCAAAGTTAAAGTTTTTCAAAAGTATGTCAAACTCCTATGTCAAGGTCAAAGGGTCAAAATGGTTGTGTCCAAAAAAAGGTCTTCTCACAAGGATTACATACGTGAAGTATGAAAGCCCTAGCTCCAACCATTCAAAAGTTATGGCCAAGGTTAAAGTTTTTCAAAAGTATGTCAAACTCCTAGGTCAAGGTCAAAGGGTCAAATAGGTTGATATCCAGGGGAAGGTCTTGTCACAAGGAATACACATGTGAAGTTTGAAACCCCAAGCACCAACTGTTCAAAAGTTATGGCCAAGGTTAAAGTTTTACAAAAGAAGGTCAAACTCCAAGGTCAAGGTCAAAAGTTCAAAGTTGTTGGTATCCAAAGGAAGGCCTTGTCACAAAGAATACACATGTGAAGTTTGAAACCCCAAACACCAACTGTTCAGAAGTTATGGCCAAGTTTAAAGTCTCATAAAATTTTGCAAAAGTGGATCAAACTCCAATGTCAAGGTCAAAAGGTCAAATATGATGGTACCCAAAGAAAGGTCTTGTCACAAGGAATACACATGTGAAATATGAAAGTCATAGCTCCAACCAATCAAAAGTTATGGACAAGGTTAAAGTTGACAACAGACAGACAGACAAACAGACAGACAGGACAAAAACAATATACCCCTGGGATCTTTCGATCCTGGGGCATAAAAAGTGTTTATGGACAGCTAGACAGACAGATAGATGGATGAAAGACACCTTAATATGACAAACTCTTTTGGTCTCTGACCAGTAAAAGCTAAAAAAAAGTCTGCAAGTCCAATGCATTACTGAGTGGTCAAAAAAAAAATTGATGTTGGACTTCAGAGTGAGATATTGGACCTATTGATGAGATATTGGACCCCTATGACGTCTTTTTATGTCATCACACTGTAGGCAGGATCAGCTATCAAATATTGCAATAATGGAAGCCAAGATGTGTAAAAATAAAAAGTAAAAGGTATAACAAAACATTTATTGACTGTGTTCTCGGCCAACATGCGTTTTGTTGACCTCTCAAACCTAATGGCCTCAGGAAAACAGTTTGATTTTTCGGTCTGACAAAACGCATGCCCTTGAAGCCAGTCAAAAAATGTATAACATTACCCTCAATTACATGCAGTATTTATATACTGATTACCTGCAGTAGTGATTGTCTGTGAGTGTATAGTTCTTACATCTATAGATTTGTCTATATATACTAGGAGTTACTTATTTTGATCAGTACTTACATTAATAGATTTATCTAAATTTATCTAAAGCAGCTACCTTTTTGTGTTCAGTTCTTACAACCATAAAGTTACCTTTAGCAATGGTCCTTTGCGTTTGTACTGTACATATATTTGTACATTTATAAGCACTTTCTGTGTTTAAAAAATAAAATACCACCTCAGTAGATATATCTGTAGAAATACTTTACCCGTGGAAATAATTGTGTGGGGGAAATTTTTTGTGAATTTTGTGATTAGTAAAGTTTCACAAAATTTATTACCTGGCCAGAGATTTCACATAAGGTAACATACTAAACAACAAACCAACATATTTTCTGTAAATTCTTTAACTTCCGCAAAAATAATCCCTATGCAAACACTTTGTTCCACAGAAATTGTAGAATTTTAGCCCGTAAAAACATCCACGTTGACAGTGGTACTTTGTATGTTATAAAATACTTACATCTGTATATTTATCTGTAGCAGTGGTTACTTTCCATTTATAAAGTACTTACATGTACACTTATATTCCTGTGTTTTGTACTTCTAACACAAATGTAGATTTTTTTGTTATTTTACTAGACAGAGCCTTTATTTGACACATATCCAGAGCTAGAAAGCCTCAATTTTGACTCACTGTATTTTCTGCATCTGCTGCCAGGCGAGCTGCATACCGGGCAATCAGACGATGTTCATCGTCCACAGGAACACACTCTACGCTAGCTGTCATCTTCCTGGGGCTAAAATCAGGAAGTTGTTCATCTTAATATAAGTATAAACTTGGAGGGTGTATATCTTTGTCTTAGCCTTCTTTTAGACTTGAATTAACTGGTATAGATCTCTATTTATAAATTAATGCTGAACAATTTATAGTAACTATTTAAAAAAAAAATTAATATTATAACTACAGTAATTTCTCTTTTGTTAATGGGGCCCCTGAATGGAAAATTACTAGATCCACCCTAGAATATAACCTTGATCTCCTTTGTAATATTAATTATTTTAAGTTCAATTCTACCTTTTCTGAGGTTCCCCTCCATTCAGCTGTAATGAGTTGACTGCTTGATGCAACAGAGTGTCATGGAAACCATTTCTAGGTTGCTGTTGTTGTGGAGTTGGAGGTCTAGAAAAATAAGACAGCCAGATAATTTTGTATTATCAAACAGCACAAGATGTGTTTGTGCAACACTGAGGCCCAAGTGGCAGCTCATGCCCAAGGTTAAAGTTTTTCAAAAGAATGTCAAACTCCAAGGTCAAGGTCACGAGTTAAAAAATGTTGGGACCCAAAGAGAAGTCTTGTCACAAGGAATACATATGTGAAGTATGAAAGCCATAGCACCAACCATTCAAAAATTAAGACCAAGGTTAAAGTTTTTAAATGTAGGTCAAATTTCAAGACCAAGGTCACATTATATATTGGACCCCCCCCCCCCTTTCCCCAAGTCTTGTCACAAGGACTGCACAATCCATGTGAAAAATGAAAGCCCTTGCACCAACTGTTCAGAATTTATGGCCAAAGTTTAAGTGTTTCATAGCTAAGTCAAATTTTAAGCACAAGGTCATGAGGTCAAAAATGTTGGTAATCAAAGAAAGGTCTTGTCACAAGAAATACGCATATTAAATATGAAAGCTCTAGCACCAACCATTCAAAAGTTATTAACTGGGGTAAGTTTCAGCAGACAGAAAAACAGACAGACCAAACTATACACCCCTGTATCTCCAATAGGGGCATAAAAAGATATAAAACATTTCCTCTCAAAAACTTAATCTTATTGATAAAAACAGTCCACATAAAATGAGCTTAAGTGAATTATCATGACCATGCAAGTTCTTCCTGAAGAGAACTGGACATTGAGGTACATTTACCAAAACAATATGTATAAGCATATAGTCATGTTACACAACTGTTGATACAGACATAGATTAATTATAATATGAAATGTTAATATATTATACAGTTGAACTTCGCCATCTCGAACACTAATATCTTGAAAACCATAGATATGTCGAAGTGATTTGGAAGTCCCAACCACTTATTCGAATATGTTTTTTAACCCTCGGTATCTCAAATAATTGGATATCTCGAAGTTTTTTCTTGGTCCCATAAAGTTTGAGATAACGAGGTTTGACTGTATATGTACATGTGCATTCACATTAACTTTGCTACATTTGAAGATATGAGACTCCAGAATTAAACATTCCCTATTCATCCCAATCACTGCTTCTACTCCTAAATATGTGCTCCATGAAGCTACATGTGTTTCAATGAATTATAAGAAACACTATGTATCTAAAAGTAACTATATACACTTATATTTTTTAAAGTCAAAATAACTAAAATCTTTAAAATTTGTTTCAATAAAGCAATTACTGTAAAATCCAATATTTTCGTGAGTCAAATTTTTGTGTTTTGAGAAAAAAAAAATGGTTCGTACGGATTTGATTTCATGGTTGAAGTAGTGTTAAGTTGTTTTATACCGGTATATGATTTTTTACATTTCATGGGGAACATGAATTCACATGTTTCTTCATGCCACAAAAACAACAAATATTAAACCCCCTACAAAAATTAGTGATTTCTTCTAGGACTTTTTTTAAAAGAAATATTACATGTATCAAGGAAAACCTCTTGTACAACTTTTTGCTTTACACAGAACAATTAATACCAAAGGTTCCATTACTTTGCTCCACTTTTCCTCAATTTCAGAAGCGTATGGCATGTTTGGGATAAATATGGTATTATACCTGCCACACATACGAGTACACATAACTATGAAATATTATTGTACTATAGAAACATCTCAATCATTCATCAATAGAACAATTGATCAATATTATAAGAAGAACACAATGAAATCAAAGTGTCAATCTCCATGTCTTTTTGTGTAGAAAACGCAACATCTGAAGAAGTTCTCAGGAGTTATTGGACTTGTGTATGGGAATCTGTATTAACTTCAATACAAAGCTTTGCTTTTAATCTTCTCTGCTTTTTACGCAGATATACTAGGCCTGGGTATCAGCTGGGAATTTCCTATTGCCATATACTGTGATATTTTTAACTGTATTGTGATTTTGTACATTGTATTGGAATATTTTCAGTAACAGATAAAATGACCCTTTCTTGTTACATTAACCTCCATTTATAAGCAGAGTGTATTTTACTATTATAAATGAAGTGTAAGAAAGTTCTTGTTGATTTCACTACAGTTTTGCAACGAAATGTAACCACACAACAGCAACCTTACTGTTTGGCATGATTGAAACGTTTCTGACATTTTTACTTAAGAAATTCGAAGCCCAAGCATTGTGCTGGTATATTGGTACTGAGAAAACTTATCACAATCAAATATTTTTTGCCAAGGAATCGCAATATACTTGAATATCGATATTATTGTGCAGCCCTAATATATACTCAAGGAAAAAAAAATCTTTGGTAAAGGATGTGTCTTAAGATTTCACAGAATTCAAATCCCATGTTAAGCTTGCTATTTAGAACATTACTTAGTGTTATTTATGTCTGCATTAAATTTTCATTGCTCAAACTATCATGCATGATACAAACTATACAAGACCCATACAAAGGACAGACTCCCTGTATATAGAGACAACATGTTTTATGCTTATATTGTGATTAGATTCTGTACAACAATATAGACCTACTTCAATAAAGACATGACTTCTTCAAAAGGCAGATTTCTGAAAGTAAAATGTGGTTAGATATAGCTAGTGCTTAAAGGAAAAAAAAACTGTAAAATAAAAAATACAATTTGGTATCTGCCATAAAAAAAATATAAACTTAGTAAAATTTGCATGTTGAAATTAATGAACTGAGAAATTACAGCATGTCTCATTTATCAAATTGGAAAATTATAAATCAAGCATACAAGTATATTGTTAAAAAAAGAATTCAATCTCTAGGACAGTATACATGTTATTGTGATAAATATATAAATCTAAATAAATAAAAAATTTTGAAGAATTTTGTTGAAACTTAATAGGTTTCAGGCAGTCAATGAATGTTTGTAGTCTAATTATCAAACAAAATATAAAGGTGCAACTAGCTTGGAAAAACATAGAACGAAGGATCAGCAATCAAAGTCAGAAAAAATGTCTAGAAAAAAAATTAACTTAGTCACTAACATGATGTATGACAAGTCTACAGTTTTTTCTGGGGTCTCGGGGAACTGTGGGAGCTTCGATTGCGTTGATTTGTTTGGCACACATTTAAACGTCTTTTTCAGATTATGTCCAATCTGCTTGGCTGGAGATTTCTGTACAAAAAGTAAGGTCATCATTTCAAAACAGGAACACTTAGTACACATGTAAACAGCAAAATACGAGGCAAGTAAGGAAACATATGACTGTTAATTTATTACAATATAATGGCTAATCTATACCTGCAAAAAATTATAGCATATTTCTAATTTGTTCCTATTGCAAAAATAGATTGTAAAATATGTTCAAAATTAACTTTCAAAACTAGAAATATGTCCATAGGACATGAATGCCCCGCCGAGGGTACATGAGTAATGCAACATGAAAATTTGTTTTAGTGTATGAATTTGATGAGAATATCTTGAATAGTTTCTTTAAAATTGAAATCTAAAAAGTTGGATATAGATGATAAATTCTCGCCAAATTATGTATAAGTGCATAAACTTACATAAATATATCTTAAATGGTTTCTTTAAAATTAAGCAAAATGCAAATCTAACAAAAGTGAGGTCAAGGTCACAAAAAAGTTCAAGGTCAAATGTTTTTGATGCAATTGAATACTTCTCACAAATATGTATCAGCATATTTAAGTTTGATAAAAATATTTGAGTGGTTTATTTAAAACTGAGCTAAACACTAATTCAAAATAAATGAAGTTAAGGTCAAAGGAAAGGTCAAGGTCAAAAAATGTTGATGCAGTTGAAAAGGTTACATCAGTATGTATTAGCATATGAAGTTTGATAAAAAATTATGAATGTTTTCTTTAAAACTGAGTTAAACACAAATTGAGAAAAGTGAGGTCAAGGTCAAAGGAAAGGTCAAGGTCAAAAAATATTGATGCAGTTGAATAGCTTACATCAGTATGTATCAGCATATGAAGTTTGACACTAATTAAAGAAAAGTGAGGTCAAGGTCAAAGGAATGGTCAAGGTCAAAAAATGTTGATGCAGTTGAATAGCTCTCATCAGTATTTATCAGCATATGAAGTTTAATAACACTATCTTAAATGGTATCTTTAAAAGTGAGCAAAAAACTTATTTAAGAAAAGTGAGGTCAAGGTCAAAGGAAAGGTCAAGGTAAAAATATTGATGCGGTTGAATAGCTCTCATCAGGATGTATCAGCATTATGAAGTTTGTTAAAAATTTCTTGAATGGTTTCATTGAAACTGAGCTAAACAGTAATTTAAGAAAAGTGAGGTCAAGGTCAAAAGAAAGGTCAAGGTCAAAAAATGTTGATGCAGTTGAATAGCTTACATCAGTATGTATCAGTATATGAAGTTTGATAAAAATATCTTGAATGATTTCATTAAAACTGAGCTAAACACTAATTTAAGAAAAGTGAGGTCAAGGTCAAAGGAATGGTCAAGGTCAAAAAATGTTAATGCAGTTGAATAGCTTACATCAGTATGTATCAACATATGAAATTTGATTACATTATCTTGAATGGTATCTTTAAAACTGAGCTAAACACTAATTTAAGACAAGAGGCCCATGGGCCTTGAATCGCTCTTCTGATAAACTGTACAACCTATCACTTCTATTTGAAGCCTCGAAGTATCCTGTATATTTAGATAAACCCTTGAAATTCCAATTCACACTCTGAGAACCCAAGATGATTCTAAGTCAATTAGTACCTGAGAGTTGGTCATGGTGACCTACTTATCACTTGTCATTCTCTGAGGACCCATCAACTAAGTTTGATGATTCTAAGCCAATTAATACCTAAAATATTTTTTAAAATTATAACCATAAAATTTTATAAGTAGGTCAAAGTGACCTACTTTTCAATTGTTTTACTCCAAGGACCCAAGATGCATCAACTGACAAAGTTTGATGATTCTAAGCCAATTAGTACCTGTAATATTTAATTAAAGCCATAAATTGTCAAAAGTAGGTCACGGTGACCTACTTTTTAGTCGACCTACTCTGAAGACCCAAGATGCATCAACTGACAAAGTTTGATGATTCTAAGCCAATTAGTACCTGAAATATTTAATTAACGCCATAAATTTTCAAAAGTAGGTCACTGTGACCTACTTTTTAGTCGACCTACTCCGAAGACCCAAGATGCATCAACTGACAAAGTTTGATGATTCTAAGCCAATTAGTACCTGAAATATTTAATTATAGTCATATAAATTGAAAAGTAGTTCACGGTGCCCTACTTTTCAGTTGACCTTTTTTGAGGACCCAAGATGCATCAACTTACAAAGTTTTATGATCATAGGACTTAAAATGTCCAAATTATGCCTCTAAAATGCTTTGAAATCGAATGCCTGCAAAGTTCAAAAAGTAGGTCACTGTGACCTACTTTTTAATAAATATGTTTTATGGCCCCAAGATGCATCACCTTACAAGATTTAATGATTCTAAGCCTCCCCGTATTCGAATTAATGACCTTAATTGTTTTAAAAAAGATTAGCCATAAAATTCAAAAAGTAGGTCAAGGTGACCTACTTTTTAGTTGACGTACTTTGAGGACCCAAGATGCATCAACTGACAAAGTTTGATGATCATAGGCCTTAAATTGTTCAAAATATGCCTCTAAATCATTTTGAAAAAGAATGGCCGCAAAATTTAAAAAGTAGGTCACCGTGCCCTACTTTTGAGTCAACATGATATGAGGTCCTTAGATGCACCAACTGACAAGACTTGATGATCCTAGTCCTTATAGTAAGCAAAATATCAACATTTTAATAAAATGTAATTTTTGGTCAACTTTGAAGTGACCTTGAGACCACGCCCTTTGCCCCAGGGTAAATCCCCGTGCAAATTTTAATCTACAACATATCCTCATCCTTTTGTGTAAGTTTGGTGATAATCTGCCCAGTGGTTCTAGAGAAGAAGATTTTTTAGCAACCAGTACTTTTGTTTCTATTTTCCTAATTATCTCCCCTTGTTAAAGGGTCACAACCCCAGTTTTAGTATAAAAGGGAGCCCTTGGGCCAAGGATACCCTGTGACAAATTTGACAATAATTGGCCAAGGGGTTCTTGAGTTATGGCCCATATTCTAAAAAGTTTACGCACACCGCACAATTGGCCATAGCATTAGCTCTTTGAGCCTTTGGCTCAGAAGAGCTAAAAAGTGAGGTCAAGTTCAAATGAATAGTCAAGGTCAAAAAATGATGCAGTTGAATAGCTTACATCAGTATGTATCTACATATGAAGTTTGATAAAAATATCTTGGATAGTTTCTTTGAAACTGAGCTTTAAACAGAGCTAAACGCAAAATGTGACGGAAGGACAGAAAGTAGGACAGAGGGATGGAAGGACAGAAGGACGGAAGACAGACATGACAAACACTATATGCCCCGGCCATATTCATGGCGGGGCATAATAACTTTTTTTTCCTGTTTCTGAAATGTTTAGAATTCTCACGTAAGCAGTGAATTCCTTCATTTGATGGTCGTTGGTATGGTTACCAGCTGTTCGTCCCCTCCAAAAGCAGTCTTGGCACAGTTGAAAATTACAGCACCTCTGACATTTATACCGGAAACCCATAAAGGATTCTCGGTGACAACCTTCACACAACACTGGATGAAACACTGAAGTTCAAAATTATACATAAAATAGAAAATTACCGTTACAATCACTGCTGAAAAATTATTTGTCCAGTGGAAAACTACAATCACTGTCAAAAAATTATACATACAGTGGAAGATTACAATCACTGCTGAAAAATTATGCAAACAGTGGAAAACTACAATCACTGTCGAAAAATTATACATACAGTGGAAGATTACAATCACTGCCGAAAAAGTGACAGTATTTGAAAATGTGGTTTAAAATAAATAAACTGTTTTTGATAAATTTCCTAGAAATGCATCTCTACTACTGACCATTTTCGACCTGTGGCATCTTGCTGAGAATGGGGAGCCACATCAAACATTGTGGTCCTGGGTCCACCATCATCACATTCAGAAAATCATTCACATTCACTGGGTTATTCTGTTAAGAAAACAATATCACTAAATCAGGTCACAGAAATACAATAGTCCTGATTCAAAGTCAAGTTCAACCTGTGTGCCAGGAAGAGTCTAAGATTTATTTTTGAAAGGTAGAATTTAAAACCAAGAGAAATTGTATACATTACATAAAATTCGGTTCAAGGAATATCTTTACTAAGGAAAAATGATATTACCAAAATATTGGAATTAGGGCGAAGAATAACTTTGGTGTAAAAGAACAATATTTCCCTATAATTGTATATGTAAGTGTGAATGGGCAGTTTTGAACTTTAAATATGTATCTTTATTCATCAAATACTTCAATACCATAAATATTATGCAAAGTTAATAGCTGACCAAACTCTGGCAGCAGTGTTTAAACCCCATCTGTTTGTTCACCATTGATCTTCCTAACCCCTCACTTTGATGTCAAATGCACATACTAACAACTTACGATAAAAAGATAAAGCTATGTTAATTATTCATGTTAGTTTGACGCCAGCACTTTTATCCACTAATAAAACACCAATCAATGCCAGTAACAAGATAGATACATTTCAAAGCAAAACATTTCACTCAAATGAATTGATCCCAAGTTCGTACAGTCCTTCTCAAAGATTTAAATCTCTGTTTTTAAGCTGAGTCTGAACTCAGTGTGAGTTATATTACATACTGAGGCATAAACTCAGTGTTAGTTACTAGTATATTAAATTCTGATTCTAAACTCATTGTCAGTTGTATTACATTCTGAGCCTAAACTCATTGTCAGTTCTGTTACATTCTGAGTTTAACTCAGTGCAAGTTGTATTACATTCTGAGTATAAACTCAGTGTAAGTCATTCTGAGTATAAACTCATTGCCTGTTCTATTACATTTTGAGTCTAAAGTCAGTGTCAGTTCTGTTACAATCTGAGTCTAATTTAATTCTATTACATTCTGAGTATGCACTCAGTAAGAGTTGTATTTCATTCTGAGTCTAAGGTCAGTGTCAGTTATTTTACATTCTGAGTGTAAACTCAGTGTCCATACAGTTACATTCTGAGTTTAAAGTCAGTGCAAGTTCTATTTCATTCTGAATCTAAGGTCAGCGTCAGTTCTGTTATATTCTGAATTTAAATTCAGTGTGAGTTCTATTACAATTAGAGCATAAACTCAGTAAAAGTTCTCTTTCATTCCAAGTCTAAAGTCAGTGTCCGCTCTGTTACATTCTGAGTTTAAAGTCAGTGCAAGTTCTATTACATTCTGAATCTAAAGTCAGTGTCTGTTCTATTACATTCTGAATCTAAACTCAGTGTGACTTCTATTACATTCTGAGTATAAACTCAGTGTAAATTCTATTACACTTGAGTATAACTTAGTGCAAGTTCTTCTATATTCTAAAGACATATCAAGTTATTACTCTTACAGGAGAATTTTGAAGTTTAATTTGAATAGTTATAAACTGCGATAATCACAGTACACTGCATGTGGTGGTCTTCAGAAAGGATATTCCACTCTTCTTTAGCTGGGTGAACTTTAACAAGAGGACTATAGGCCACAATGGTCACCTGAGTCACCTTCAGCCTGCTGTTCTTCAAAACAATGTCCCCACCCTAGCCCCAGGGGCCATGATTTGAACAAATATAAATAATACACTATCTGAAGATGCTTGCATATCAATATGACTAATCATGATCATGCTGTTCCTTAAACAGATAATTTTAAAGATTTTTTTCTTTGATTTTCTATTGTTGTCCTACGTACCCTACCCCTCAGGGATCAAAAACTTGAATGTACAGGACCAGACAATGTTTTGCATATTTTAAAATATCACTAATTATGGTACTATTATTAATGAAAGGAAGGTTTTGCAAGATTCTTCCCTATATATTCCCAAGTAAATTTTGATATATTATGGCCCCACCTCATCCCTGGGGCCCAATGTTTTGAACAAACTGTAATCTGCACTACCTAAGGATGTTTGAGAAAAGATTTTAAACATTATAATTCTCCTATAAATACTGATGTAAAACTTTATTTCCTACTGGGGTCCCACCCTATACCCACAAGGGCCATAACTTGAACAAAATGGAATCTGCAATATCTGGGGATGCCTGCATATGAATATCACTAATCATGGTCCTGCTGTTCTTGAGAAGATTTTTAAACAATTCCAATGTAAACTATGATTACCTATTGCGGCCCCAGCCCACTCCAGGGGTACATTTCTACACTTTGTCAAGAAGCTTTCACATGTTTCATCTTTTTTTTGGCCCAGTGGTTCTTGAGAAGGATTTTTTTTATGACAACAACTTTATTTTTGCCTTTTGTAGATTATCTCCTCTTTAAAGTGGCTGAGACACTGGAGAAGAAGGTGAATTTGTGAAAGGATTATGAGGACAACTACAATGACAACAACAACAGACAACAAAAAAAATTCGATCAGAAAAGGTCACTTGAACCTTTGGCTCATGTGAGCTAAAAAGCACATCCAAAGAACTGACAAAACATTGACCTGATCAAATACTTTTGATAAACAAATTAAAATAGATGGTAACATGTAAGAATTGCCTCACCCCCCCCCCCCCCCCCCCTCCATCTCATATCTCTGCATGTAGCGATGTAGGAGTTATTGACCCTGATCTTCTACTCCAGAAAATGGTCCAATCAATACTAGATACACAAAGATCACAGTTAATCTGCTGACGACCACGGAACCATTACAAAATCAATGTCCAGCGTGAGTGGGAGAGTTAACCTGGTACAAGGTCAAGTGATTTCACTTGCCATTAGCACCTCTTCCCTCCATAACAAACATGGATGTTGAAGCACTTACTTGTAATGTCTGGGTGACAGAAAGTAAATATGTACCTATACATATTCTAAAAGCATTTAAAAGCTCATAAAATGGGGGTTTATAGAACCTAATGACTTCCTAATGCACCCCAGGGCTTCATTCAGTCAAATAACAGGATATTCCTAATTTAATTTGATGAAATTACCTAGACCCAGCAAATAAAAAATAAATGAAGAGGCATATTAATTACAAATACTTTGAAGGCATGCAAGGTTTTTTAGGTATGATTAAGCAGGAACCAAATTCTTTCTGGAGTTCACTGGGAATACTTTGAGAAACCCATTTTCTTCGGGAAGACAAGAGATAACTATAGCAGTTTATGAGCAAGAACTCTTTATCAACTTTACTAATAAAAAATAAGTAACAATTAGCAAAAGTGGTAAAATGGGGGGAAAAAACCCAAGGGATATATTTTTATTTACTTTGAAAAAAGAATTGTTTTGTGAAGTAGAAATAATGGAATAATTGCACATTTTTGCATAAGGTGCAAAAGCAACAGGCTCTGTCACCTACCTGAAATCAAGATATGTGTACTTGTAAGTCAAGTAGATTTTCTGTAAGAGTTTAAATTATTTAGATTGGCAAATAGATATATAAATAAATGGTTTTGATATTTGAGTAACTATTTCTTGACTAATTTGGACATATTTATGATTTACAATAAAATACGTTTATAACACTGAAAGTGCCGGGGACAAACAATTTTGATTCATTAAAAACGTAATTCATTAAATTGGATAAGTTAATAATACATTTTAAAACTACAGGGAATTTATATCCTTTCGCTGTAAGAGTGAATTCATTTTATGCATGTTTGCTGTAACCATATTTTAATGTTTCAGCAGTGATTTTTTTTTTTTTTTGCTAGACTAGTGATGGTCAAAAAACTTTAAAATGTGTTTCAAAATACGGAAACTACACCATCTGCTCCTTCTTTGGTAGTACCCCCATTTATGGCCAGTACATGTGAAACAGCAAGGTAAAACCATTCCCACAAGGTGAACAATAACAGCATGTTTACTTTATCAAAACAACTTCTAGGAGCCGTCTCATTATATCCAAATGACGGTCCCTCAAAAACAGCTGCTGGGAGGGCAAGCAGGGCTCGGAGATAGTCTTCAAACCTGGTCCACACCATGTTACCGCTGGAGTCAGAAATCTGGGTGAAGATATCTGTAAAATATCCCCCAGTTATTATCATTCATAAAACAAACAACTTGGTATATGTTTAAAAGTTTATAGGTAAAATATATGCAATGTAACTTCAGTAAGACCTGAATCTGCAGCAGTGTTTTCCTTTTATTTCAAAGTAAAGGGTTTGAAATCAATTGTAACAGGCTAGGGGTTGAGGTTTATGAATAAAATCTCTGTGGACCTTATAACCGTTATGTTTTAAATTTTGATTTCTAAGTGGCATTTATATCAATTGAAGTGGTCAATTTGGCCGGTAGCCGGTTCTTAGGGAAAACACAGCTACAGTGCTATTGTATTCCACTTGGTATTTGGATCCTTGATCAAATTGTGAAGAATCTTGGTTGTGAAGCCAAAAAAATAATGACTTGAGGGACCAGTCTCTGTTTCATCTTTTTCACTCAGATATTGACAGCAACTCCGTAGAGGGATTTAAAGACACAGAAATATACATAACTTCATTTATCAATACTTAATGTGATACTTACGGTAAAATAAACCACCACAAAACAGCAAAGAATCGAGAGCTGAAAGTGTTATCTACTGATAGAAATACTCTGTTTTCCAGTAGTGACAACAACTTTATATGAAAAAGTTGTTCTTGGACAAAAAAATGCAGTATTTGCTAGACAAAGTGGTATCAATCAAAACTAGGGTTGTCACATTGGCCAATCTAGTAACCAGTTAGTCCACATAAATTTAAATTTAAGATTCTCATCCTTATTTGCTTAAAAATTTAGGTGGGTGGGCGGATTTTATTTTTCATTTCTTCTTAAAAATATGTACATAACGTTTTTCTTGTACAAAATTTTCACATTGTAAATGCCAATATGGGTATAATTTATTGTTTACTCCCTGTAATTTCTACAAAGATTCTAGTAATACAAAATATTCACATTGTTAATGATTTAATGAGTTCATACACCGGACACACACAGCTCCTACCAAGAAATGGGGCCCAGATCCCAAAACATTGTACAAGCTAGCTTTAGCTGTACATGGTAGTCACCACTTCTCACTCCGGCCCTTTCAAAATACTGGTATATATCTTTCAGTCTGACCAACAACTTCCTATGTTTTGTCTAAACATACCACATATTTCCACTTTCCTTACATTAACATCCAATTTTTTGGTTCTTGACATATATGTTTGATATTGTCAAAATTTTGCAAAACAGAGTGTCTAAAATATTTCAGTCTCTGCTGAACAGTTCCTCTAAATTTACTGTTTTATGTAGCACTATTATCCTTTTAAGTCTACTGACAATCTTTTTTCAATATGAAATAAGGTACAAATTGATTGCTACAAGATGCTGCATTTATTTTATCTGATTTTTTTTTTGTCTGTTCCACTATATTTTTACTTTGTTCAGATCTCATTAAAAACTTGCTGATGGTACATTGTAGATATACCTAGATTTATCACTTAATAATAACTGTTATTTTGCTTTTTTTCCGCTGCCTTTTCTATACAGGCATATTATTTTTTTCTACCCATGCACACTGCTTTTTGTGCTGAGTTTTCTTCATTCTCCACATGTTCCTGTGATAAAAATAGTACCACATGACTTTTTATACAAATGGGAAGTAACTCTAAAACTCTGACAATGATCTAATAAATACTTACCGGTAGATAAAAAAAAAAAAAAAACAAATACAAATTTAAAACAACAAGGCAGGACATTTTGAGAGGGGCAGAAGGGGATGAGAACCTAAAATTTAGTCTTATCTAAGAAACCCAGAAAAGATTGGCTATCTTATATATCAGTCAAAAATATGCATGTTGCAAATGTATATAATTCTTTATTTAATACTGCACTTCCTCTTTTTACTATAGTACCTTCACACAGAAAAAGGACATTTTTTAATGTTTAAAGATAAAGAACACCAACAACCAATGTAAGTGATTATTGTCATATGAGAGCACTGTAAATATATTGCACTTCTGGAAGAACAATTTGGGTGTCCTGACACTTGGGAGTAATTGCTACAGGTAAATACCTCAAAGTACATTAATTTCTTTTTGTTTATAGAGTTATACATAATTTTAATTGAATATCAAAAATTTTAAGTGAAGAATGGGGCCTTAATTTCTTTTTCCGAGTAGGCATTGTAGTACATACATGACTTTCCGACAAATACCTGGTTAACAGGGTAAAGGATCTCCCCCTCCCAACCCCCCAAAAAATAATAAAACCAGAAATAGAATATCACATTCATAGCTTGAATCAGTTGTTGATACCACAGTAGTGATCACCTACAAGCTCAGTAGAAACAGTCCATTGTTAGAAATTTTCAAAGTCTAAGGGCAATAACTTTTGTCAAAATGAGTTAATCAATGGGAAACTCAAACTTGATCTTGGAATTTCAATTAAAAAGACATTCCAAAAACATTTTTTTTGGGGGGGATGTCAAATCGGTCAATATTTGATATTCGGTTACTCCGATCGAGTACCCAGGTACTCGTTAAAATTGTAAAATACAAATGTGTTAATTTTATTGAGACCAGTTAGGTCCTGTTTAGCCCCATCGATGATTCTTTTAATGCTTTCACAAACATCGAGCCAAAAGAAAATGATTTTTTGCACTAAATTTATTTATCAAATAAACACAAAAGACAACAATTAATACATCAATAATTACAAATGGTTTATACGTGTAGTTCTTGTTTAGGAAGATGATTTGATCCAGGCAAAAGAAAGACAATCTGTTACGCAGCTTTGCAATGAACAGACAAGTGCAAAAAATTATTTTAAAGAAAGAGCCGGTGTCGAGTTCGCTAGATGTATATATTTAATTAATACATGTATGTTGGTTGTTTTCCCCATACACACTATGTTTACTTTGCACAGGTAATTTTAAACATTTTTTGAAATCTGTTATTCTTTCCTAATGTTTTTTTTTCACTTTTGAAGTGGTAGCGGCATCTCTCCGTATTTCCGAATTCGCTACCGTATAGGAACTAAATTATTTCAGGATAATAAGCCCTAATTTAAACTATGTTCATTAAATACTAATCATTAAAGCCATCAAAAAAAAAAAATAACGGATCACAAAAGGTGATAACAGCTGTGTACCAGGTGATTGGTCACGGTGATTACTGTATTTACAAGTACACGACCACAGACAATTATGGGTATTCACAAGTGTGGGTGACGCTAATTACCGTACAAGATAAACATGGACAATTCATTTTGAAGTTGCATTTTTTGATAAGTTTTTGATAAAATAAAATGTTTTGTTCTTTGAAATATGAAAAAAAATATACATCCGAGTAACTGAGTAACAATTTTAGTATTCGATACTCGGACGTTCGATCGAGTACCCGGTTAACCGGGTACTCGTTGACATCCCTAGCTTTTTTATGTACAAGCACAGCAAAAAGTCCAGAAAACAGTGAATATTAAATTAGAAATGTTTTACATCTGAGAGCAATAATTATAAATTTTGTGAAAATGGGTCAATTGACAATTGACAGGAAACTTGAACTAAATCTGTATGTCATCATACTAAAATTTCAAGTTCAATGACATTATCTACAAGAGAAGTGAAAAAAGTTCTAAAAACTATTTATGATGGAATAACAAAGACAGAGTAACAGAAGGAAGAGTAACATGGCAGCTAGGGCATAACAAAATGTTTTTTTCTCTCTTTCCGGATGGGGGGATGTCATTAACTGGTTTTCTTCAGGAATGAATTTGACCTCATTACATTTGTTTGAACCATGATTTTGAATGAATGAAATATAGTGTCATCTTCATCTAAATGCTATTTTATATTGACTTTATTTTTTTCTTTCTTAAAATAAAAAGTTTCAAATTTTAATATTGATTTAAAAATGCCACATCTGTCTTTTGAAAGCTGACTGTCATTTTGCCATTGTGTAATGATGGATTAATTGTCAGGGAGTCTGTTGTGGGAATGGCAGGTCTATGCTTCACGTCTGTGGAAATGAATTACTTTCCCAATGGAACATGGATTCTAAATTAAGTTCGGCACTACTTACACCTAAGTTTGTCCATCATTTTTCCAGAACACATGTGGGAGAGTGCCACTTTGAGGGAAAAAACACTCATTCTTCCATAGCCTTCTCTGAAATTAAACCAGATAACATGTTACTGCGATTTAAGGCCTTAACTAGAAAGTCATGTTCAAGTGCCATGATAAATTATGCAGGGAAAAGGTTTAAAGTTTTTGTTCATATAGTCAATCCCATTGTTTATGCTTAGTTCAATATTTTCCATTTTGTTTAATATAACTTGAGTTTCATAAGGCAGGTTTTTCTGAGCCAAATTATGTGTTCTGTTTTCTTATCTACTAAGGGAGTAACAATTTATCAATATACCCCAATTGGGAATGGACCTGCAACATAAACCTTTAATTGTTCAATGACCTGGAAATATAGGTCAAATATCTAAAGCTCCAATATCTAAAGCAAGTCAGATATAGTACATCCCAAGATGCATCATCCACGTAAGTTTTATAACCATAAGACTAAGAGTTACTTTGGAAAGTACCTGCTCCAAAAACTTAAACTTGTCCAGAAATGTTGGTTAGACAGATCTAACATCCATGCCTGATAGTGTGCATCCCTAGATGCATTACCCATGCAAGTTTGGTCCATATAGGGCTTATAGTTACCTGGGAATGGACCTGCTCTGAAAATTAAGCCTGTTTAATCACCTGGAAAATGTAAATCAGGTCACTGTTTGAAGCTAGTCTGGTAGTGTCCATCCCCAGATATATCTCCTGTACAAGTTTGGTCCAGGTAGAACTTCTAGTTTCTTAAAATAAACCTGCTCCAAAAAACTTGGTCACTCATCCATAAAATGTAAGTTAAACCAGCATTCAAAGCAAGTCTGGTAGTTTACATCCCTAGATGCATTTAGAGTCCAAGCAAGTTTAGTAATGGTAGAGCTTATAGTTACTTGGACCTGGTTCAAAAACTTTAACATGTTCATTCATCCAAAAACTGCTGATAAGATCCAGCATCTGAAGCAAGCCTGGTAGTGTGCATCTCTAGATTCATCATCCACACAAATTAAGTCACCGTACAGATCATAGTTACTTGGGAATGAGACCTGCTCCAAAAACTTTAATCTGCTACAAAAACTTAAACATACTCCAACAACATTAACCTGGTCAATTTCTGGAAAATGCAGCTTCTGAAACCTGATTGGAATGATGAAAAGTACTAGATGCGTAATTCATATGCAATTCTGATCAATATAGGGCAGAGTTACTTTAAAATAAAACTGCTCCAAAAACTTTGACCTGGGATGTTGAGACCGAAAGTATAGTGTAAGCTTCCCCCAACTTTGTCAAGGTGAGCTATAAAGGGTAACAATGAGATTATGTAAACATAAAGAACATGATAAGATTATGTACCATATATACTCCCCTATAAGTCGGTCTGCCTATAAGTCGGTTGTATTTTTTAAGCTTAAATTAAAAGGATTTACCTGCTGAAATACCAATCTTTTTATAACCAGCGTATAAGTCAGATAAAGAGTTTTGGACCAAAGTTTAACTCCCAACAAGAGGCCCATGGGCCACATCGCTCACTTGAGAACATTGGCTAGGCAAAAGCACAAATCAGTTCAGTATTGAAAAGATTACTGGGGGGGGGGGGGGGTTCCATGTCAATATAACAAATGGCTTTGTTGTACTTGAGAAGATTTTAAAATTTAAAAAAAAATTCCCATATATTCCTTTTTAAAAATTTGATCCCCCATTGTGGCTCCTCCCTATCCCAACATGAGGATGCTTCCATATAATTATGAATCTTCATGGCTTTACTGTTCTTGAGAAGAAGATTTTTAAAGATTTTCTATATATTTCTATGTAAAACTTTGATCCTCCATTGTGGCCCCGCCCTACCCCCGGGGGTCATGATTTGAACAAACTTGAATCTACACTACCTGGGGATGCTTCCATATGAGTTTCATCTTTCCTGGCTCTGTGGTTCTTGAGAAGAAGATTTTATAAAGATGCTATTCATTTTTCACTAATTCTTAATTATCTCCCCTTGAAAGAGGGCATGGCCCTTCATTTGAACAAACTTGAATCCCCTTCACCCAAGGATGCTTTATGGCAAGTTTGGTTGAAATTGGCCCAGTGGTTCTGGAGAAGAAGTTGAAAATGTGAAAAGTTTACAACAACAACGACAACGACGACAGACAACGGACAAATTTTGATCAGAAAAGCTCACTTGAGCCTTTGGCTCAGGTGAGCTAAAAAACAGACTTATAGGCCAGTATATACAGTAAGTAAAAGAATACATCTACACTGACCTATCATAGGCAGATATGATCCAGTGTAACAACATGTTAACACACTGGTCAGCATTGACTTGCTGTGTGGAAGGAAGACGTTTGTTAAGATTACAGAATAGACTCGAGATGATGGCCTCTACTCGAGACGAGTTCAACTCTGAGTCAGGCTCCAGTGAGTTTAGACCATTCTCCCTGAAGGACTCAATGATATTCCAGATGTCCACAAGGGATACTGAAAATGGGAACGAAAATCATGGTCAATAAAATTTCCAATCTGTTCAATTAACCACACAGGTGATAATCTCCTTCATATATTAATTAATAATAATTGCTTGAGGCTTCAGTAACCTGATCATTATTTTACCAAGTGAAGGCAGATTCCATGTCTAGAAACAGACTGGATCTATTTATGGTAAAAATGATTTCCATTTCTTCACTTTCAGTAGGAGCACATCAAACACAGACCTTTAATCACCTTTTAATTATTTTACTTTGTACGTTAAGATTGAAGTTGACCAGCTTATCATGTTTTCAGTGACTTTCCAGTGTCTATGTGATTTGATGGTCTGTGTATATGCTTTAAAGGATGTAGAAAATGCATAATGTTTTTAGTAATCTTTAAATTCTTAAGACATACATGTATATGTAATTTTTTTAAGTCTCGGAGTCAAACAAAATGTAATACAGTAGATGATGCAGAATTAAACATCTGAAATTACATAATGGATCAAAAAATGATACTTGTCAACTTGAGTTATTCAAGTTTTACAAGATTTATGAACACAAAATTTAATTATTAACTATACTCACAGTTGGTCTTCTTTTGAATGAATCTCAGTTTACAGGCTGTCCTATACGTGGCAAATCGAATGACATCAAAATTCTGGGCTCCTAACAATGAAATATCTTCATTAACTCAATTTACAATTTAAAAAAAAAGGTTAATTAACAGGAAATCAACCATTCATAAAACACAGTGTTAGACCACTTCGTTACATGTGAAAAATAAAGAGATAAGATCAGTACCTGATTCACTTAATTCTTGGAAAATTCAATGTTCAATGCAAAAAAAGAAAAAAAAATCAAAAAAAAAAAACAACTTTGAATCATAAAATTTACATTGTGGCTTCCTCATGTCAGTCTTGAAGATTTCCTGTAAGGCAGATGGTTGCTCGCTTGAATGAGGGCATGTTTTGTCAGTTTGGAGCATTATCAGATCCAAAATGACTCATTTCAAAGTCACAATTTGACTTCAACAAGCACAAATACAGAAAATGCTTGTTTGTAACATTATATTTCTTTTAAAACAAAAGTTCCAACATATAATCGTTTGATGTACTGTTCACATTATAACTGCAGACTAAGCGCCCTATGTTTCACTATTTAGAAGCTATACTGCTTCACCTGCATGACTTACAGATTTCTGTAAGGAGTACAGATAATACGCAAGTTTCGAGATTATCTCCCTTGGTGCGCTCTTTCGTTACAGAGGGGTTTCTTGTTTCCGCGTAAGCAGGCAGGTGGGACAGTTACATGTGTATAAATATTGGATACATTACATCATCGATATACTGGTCTATCATAACTGATTGTCGGGATGTACTCTTTACCGAATTAAAGTAAAGGCGTCAATTCTTTCTACGAAAAAAAAAAAAACGAAACAAAAGAAAATAAAAATGGGAACAAAAGAAAATATCAGTGGATAAGACTTATCAAACAAGGAAATAGATAATATGGATTTCTAATAAATACACACACATCTGATCATTGTATGTCGGCATTCTGAATGACTCTTTTCCTTAACTTCAAAGAGCCCAACAACTTTTTAGAAAAGGTGTGCACAATCAAAGAATTATTTTTTAATGAAGATGATGATGGTTTTTTCATTTTCAAGTATCCTAACTGAAAGTGAATTTGTAAATATGTATAAAAGAGCTTTACAAAATCATCAAAATGATCACTGCTTAACATTATCATCTTTTTATAACATCAAATGAATTTTAAAAGCCATATAGCCATCCTTTTTTTATTTATGCAAGCTTGTATACATTAACAACCTGTCCCACTTCCATGCTGATATGGATACCTTTTGTGCCTCTATCATAGGAGAGTTACAATCTCGAAACTCACGTATTGTGACTCCTGGTACTTATAAATTTATTTTACTTACTCAAACCCACCCCCAGTACTTAGGTAGAGAGTTCACCTCATATCTGCTATGTTGTAAACTGTACTAAGCCAGGTCTAACCTGTGACTTTAAGGTTCACTGACCCTCTGATAAGAAAGATAACTCTCATTGTGATGACTATTATTCCTTAATAAATTGTCATTGTCAATTATCATTTCTATCAAATTTTGCCCTGCAAGGTATGTTGAAATTGCGTGCATTTTAATTATAAATTAAATTTCTTTACGAAAATCATTAGAGTTAAATCAATATTTTACATGAGTGAACGGAGGGATGATGGACCTTAAACTTGAGAGTGTCTGTCTGTCTGTTTGTTTGATTTTTCTCTTTCTTAATTCTCTACTAATTTAAATGTTATTGTTTCCATTATGGGAGATGTTTTGAGACCATATTAGTGTTGTAGTAATAATGGAACCCGAAGGGCTTTATGGTAAATTTGATCTCGTACCAACCCGTATTTATATCCCGATAGATGTTTAAAAATGATACATTATTACCGGTACTTATATTTACATTTGTGATTTATTCATATTTTATATTTGCTTGATTATAATCTTTAACGCGTGAAATCTTTTATTTTTCAAACTCAATGACAGGTATTTGATTCATTTATTGCATGTCAACCCTTTATGACGTCACTGAGAAATTATGTCCAACGTTTATGACGCGAGGAACCCGTGTTTATATGGATATAGATACGTGTTGCTTTCAGTAGTGTTATATAAGGGAAAACGTTTGCAAATGTAAATATTAGGAAATTAATTGTTTCAGTGAGAATTATACTCTGGATAACATTTGCTGGTGGATGACTTCCTAAACTCATTAAGTTGCTTATTTTAATAAGGAAGGGATTCTGAGTCCCTAGTACTTAGATGACTAATTATACACTTATGTGATCAGGGAATCTAATTACTCTTTTAGTTTTCAGTTACTTATTACCGGGTAATCCCCTCGACAGAAAATGAGGGGATATAGTAATGCACTTTTGTGTGCAAGTGTGGGTGAGTGAGTGGGTGCTTGGGTAATGGAAGTAATAATTTTCATTGGGGTCAATGTGCTCTTTTGCCAGGGGATGCTTCACTTGCTGTGCCCCAGTTCATTTCAGTTGGGGAGGGGGGGGGGAATTCCTGGTACTTATATGACTTATTGTAGTGAGAAGATATTTTGAACTTCTGCAACTTAATGATCAACTTACTCATTTCAGTGAGGAGGGATTTCGAGTCTCGGACTGACTTGCTGGTTGGACTAATGTCCTCAAGTATCTGGTTCTCATTTTCAATGTTCTTCCCATGAACATAACCTAAAAGAAAATCCATTTAGGATAAAAAAGTTGAATAAAGTTTCATAATTTTTTCTGGAAAATTTAATGTTACAAGAAAATATAAGGCCAACTTTTTGTTGGTTCATCTTTTTTTGTTGTTGAAAATCTAGTATACTACAGATATACATAGAAAAATGCAATGAAATAATAAAGTTTCTTAAATGTTTTATGGAAGAAGCATAAAATAAAATGAGAATGCTTATGAAACACATATTTCAATATTTGCTTAATGAACATGACAGGCAAATTTCATTCGATAAATGACTAGGATCTGAGAGCATGTTCAGCCTCTCGAAGTCATTTCTTAACAGCAAAATGATATTTAAAAAAAAGTTAGTAGTTACAGACAACAGAAAACCAAGAAATTTCAAAAACAAATCTCCAGTGACTAAATGTCACATACATTTTTAAAAAGCTCTGCATTTTTCAAAATGCAGCGTCATCTGCCGACTATGTACTTAGTCATCAGGTAACTGAAGCAGTACATACTTTTCTGCAGAATTCTTAATTTAAAAAACCCACAATAATTAAAAAAAAATCACTTACATGACCAAGCTATGTTAAAACATTTCCACATTTCTGATCGGATCACAAACCACCTAGATGAAAACAGATGCTCTAACATGCTGACCCTGTAATTATCTTACAAGATCAGGGGTTCTAATGAAAAAAAACTGTCCGTACAGTGAGCTGAGAACCTGATTCTGCAACTGAAAGATGACTCATGTGTGTGTGTGACAAGTTTCTACCTTGATCAGGGGCTCTTTGAAATCAGCCATGACAGCGGGAATCCTTAATGCTGTCAAGTGGCCATGCAGCCAAAAAACAGAATTAATCTTTGCACTCCAACTCTTATATGGTTTTTATATTGAATTTAAAATAGGATGAGGTGGAATGCCAGTGAGAGACGTACAAATCAATGGAGATTAGGTTTAACACTTTTTTTACTACAAATTCAATTGATTTTATTTTTGCTCACATCAATGCCAGTTGTCAATTCAGCAAATCAAATTAACATTATCGGAAAAGAGACAATATGCTGCAAAAGTCATCATAAAAAGAAACTAAATTTGTTTTTAATACATTACAACATGTACAAAGCACAAACTTCTTTACCACTTTTCCTACATGAATCAACATTAGCAATGCATGTATAACATGCAGAAATGATGAAAAAAATAATAGGAATGTAAAGAGACAAAAATAGCAGCTTTTAATTAAGACGACTTTTTCCTCAATCACTCATCATAAAATAAACGATCATCTTGTGACGGAAATATGCCATATATTGATTATCACCAAGGACTACCTCTGTATGATAAAGATGGCTGATTGGTCATGGTGGTTTAAACAATGCCAGACAGTTTCCCAGTCCCTGTCACAGCTGACGGACTCAAAGCCCCACCACATACCAGGGAATCAATAGCCCTACACAGCTACATTACACAAAAATATTGACGCTGTCACAGTTCAACACCACCAAAGATATCACTGACGTATCAAGTGATAGATACTGTAACATTGATCAGAAGAGTGTTTGTTTAAAGCATTTAATTCTGATTGACAGAATGTATTAAAGAAACAAGCATCTGTATAGGAGAAAACTTCACTGTTTAAATACCAATTATTTTCATCTTTGTATTGTTGTCTTCTCTACAATAAAACTATAAGAAAATTTATAGGACATGAATGCCTCCTTTGAGCCAATATTTGTGTTCCAAAAATCAAAATATGTGAGGCAAAAGCTCTGAAGATAAAAATTAGGTAAAGGTAACATTTGAATTACTCTTACCAAGTGTGTTTTATAATAAGAGGCTATCCAACAGTAAACCTCTATAGTACTAACAAGAGGCCCATGGGCCACAGCACTCACCTGAGTAACTATGGCCCTTCTGTTCTTCATCAGCAGATTCTTTTTCCTATATATAGTCTTATGTAAAACTCTGATCACATATTATGGCCCCATCCTATCCCAGGGGGTTATGATTTGAACAAATCTTCAATCTACACTACCTGAGGATGATTTCATATAAATATCACTAATCATGGTTTGCTGTTCTTGAGAAGAAGTTCTTTAAAGATTTTTCCTATATATTCCTAGATAAAACTTTAATCCCCCATTTCTGCACCACCCTACACCCAGGGGTTATGATTTGAACAAAACTGAATCTACACTATCTGAGGATGCTTCCATATATATATGACTAATAATGACTTTGCTGTTCTTGAGAAGATTTTAAAAGATATTTCCTATATATTCCTATGTATAACTTTGATCCTCTTTTGTGACCCCATCCTAGCCTAAGGGGTCCTGATTTGAACAATCTTGAATCTACACCACCTGAGGATGTTTCTTTATTAATATGATCATGGCTTTGCTGTTCTCGAGAGGCAGATTTGTGAAAGATTTTCCTATACATTACTAGGATTTCTTCTCAAGAAAGTAAAGTCATGATTAGTCATAATTATACAGAATCATTCTCAGGTAGCCCTGTTGTGGCCCTGCCCTATCCCCAAGGGCCATGATTTGAACAAACTTGAATCTACCCTACCTGAGAATGATTCTGTATAAATATGACTAATCATGGCTTTACTTTCTTGAGAAGAAAATTTTTTAAAGATATTTTGTATATATTCCTATGTAAACATGGTAAAACTTTGATCTCCTGTTGTGGCCCCACCCTACTCCTGGGGGTCATGCTTTGAACAAACTTGTATCTAAAGTATGTAAAGAAAAGAATAAAAAATGTGAAAAGTTTACAGATGACAGACAGACACCGGACACTCTTCAGTTAGAAAAGCTCACTTGAGCCTTTGGTTCAGGTGAGCTAAAAATTATGTATAATATTCCACCAGTAGATGCACAATATTCCACCAGTAGATTCAAAATTAGAAGTGCAATATTCTACCAGTAGATGTACAATATTCCACCAGTAGAAGTACAATATTCCAACAGTAGATGTACAATATTCTACCAGTATATGTACAATATTCCACCAGCAAAATGTGCAATATTTCACCAGCAGATGTACAATATTCCACCTGTACGTTAGTCCAATAACATTAAGCTGTTTGAAGTTTAATGCAGTAAGTACAGATTATCTTGATAAATTAGTAACTATTACCTTACCCATGTACAGAGTAACCCTGAAACAATGTAACAATACTGATGTTTATTAGCCTGGTTTAGAAACTGAAATATACAAATCAAACAGGGGGCTGAACTTGAATGGTAGTTTGCCTTGTCACAAATACATTACACATTTAGCACTCATGAGAATAGATCTATGCAAGGTATTTTTTTAAAAAAAATCATTCAAAACCAGATTCTCGACCCCTATCAAAGTTCAGTTATCTTTTACAGTATATTAGCAGTAAGCGTGGCCTTAAATGATGCCAAACTTGAACAAGTTTGAGTCCAATTAATACAAGTAATTAGTCAAGACTCAAAAGAAGTTGATGCCTGTTTGTTGGATTAGTACAATAGACAGCAGTCTCACTCTTTAATATCATAGAGAATGAAACATTTTTTAACCTATAATTTGCACTTATTCAGTTTATTTTCCTCTCATTAAATAAATGAGGCAGACAGTCTTCAACAAGATTAAAAATAATTGTCCCATTACTCTGCCTTTCAAATTCAGATTACATTCTTGGTAAACACAATCGAATCATAACAGAAATGTGAAGATATACTGATGAAAAAAAGAGTGTGAAGATATAACTGATAATAAAAGAGTTCAAAGACATACCGATGATAAAAGATTGTGAAGATATACCGATGATAAAAGATTGTGAACATATACTGATAATAAAAGAGTGTGAACATATACTGATAATAAAAGAGTGCAAAGACATACCAATGATAAAAGATTGTGAAGATATACTGATAATAAAAGAGTGTGAAGATATACTGATAATAAAAGAGTGCAAAGACATACTGATGACAAAAGATTGTGAAGATATACTGATGATAAAAGATTGTGAAGACATACTGATGATAAAAGAGTGTGAAGATATACTGATGATAAAAGAGTGTGAAGATATACTGATGATAAAGGAGTGTGAAGATATACTGATGGTAAAACAGTGTTAAGACATACTGATGATTAAAAAGTGAGAAGTTATACAGATGACAAATGAGTGTGAAGATACACATGTACTGATGATAAAAATGTGTGAAGACATACTTAGGGCTGGGACGATACAACTTTTTCTATATCGATATGTATCACGATATTTGAGCCACGATATGATATGTATCACGATATGTTGAATTGGTTATAAAATGTCTTTTTTTTGTATTGAAATGAACAAAACATTTTTTTCACAAATAAGAATAATTTATTCAAAGAAGTTGTATACCTGTTGTAAAAGAAAATAATTTTACACAAGTTATGTTAGATATTATGTATTTCATATTTATATTAATATTTAGCATATTTATATTATATATTTAACCCAAAATGTTAAGTAAACAAAGAAAAATATAAGTCAGAATTTTTTTTTTGCGATATTTCGATATTTCTTCATATGTATCGATATGCGTATCATCATCACATTGAATCGATATTATCGATATCTCGATATATCGTCCCAGCCCTAGACATACTGATGATAAAAGTGTGTGAACGCACACTGATGGTAAATGTGTGTGAAGACATACTGATGACAAAAGTGTATGAAGACATACAGATACTAATGATAAAAGAGCCAGTCCGACACTTCCTTCTCAGACACTGCACCTCCTCAATATTAGCAGATAGTATCCACACAAAAAAGGATTTAATATAACTGGATGGTATCCACACAAAAAAGGATCAAATATTACTGGATAGTATCCACACACAAAGATTAAATATTAGTGGATAGTATCCACACACAAAAGGATTAAATATTACTGTACAGTATCCACACATAAAGCCTAGAGTTTGTACATTATCCAAACATTCAATATTTTTTATTGACCGAGCCTTTTT